CTTTATGCTCAGAAAACTAGAAGTAGAATATAAAAACAACGGAATGGAAATAAACTGGAAAAACCGAATACCTAACAACAGAAAACAAGGATATGAGAAACCTAGAGATAGACGAGGGAAGACAAGTAAATGGAACAGATAAATTCAAGTATTTAGGAACCATAATATCGAACCAGGGAACAACAGAAGAAGATATAAAAAAACAGAAGAACAGACTAAAACAAACAAGAAACTGTATAAGACAACTAAATTCAGTGCTGTGAGATAAGAACATTACGATAAAGACAAAAAAGAGAATATATAATACCCTGACAAGAAGTATCCTGACATATGGGTCCGAAAACTGGACAATAAACAAGAGAAATAGAGGTAGAATAAGAGCAGTAGAAATAAAGTTCCTGAGAAGCTGTAGACTTACAAAAAGAGACAGAATTGAAAACGCAGAGATTAAGCGGAGAATGGAGTGCAATCAGACATAATCGACTATATATAGAAGAGACTATCATGGTACGGCCACGTCAGAAGAGCGGACAGAGGACGCTGGATAAACAAAATCACAGAATGGAGCCCGATCGGAAGAAGAAAGAGAGGAAGACCCCGAAGGTCATTCAGGGACGAAATCGACGAGGCTATGGAGAAAAGAACCCTGCGAGATGGAGACTGGAATGACAGGGAAAATTGGAGAAAACGGTTGAGTGAAGGAAGACAGTGAAAACTGTGGAAATCCTTAGTAGTAGTAGCGACTATATAAAATACTCGAAAATATTTTGTATGCTGTATTAAGGAGGGTTCCCAGGCAGCACAAGTACGTCCCATGGACGTCCGAAGAATGTACCAAATTAAATGTCCGGACTGGGGTGATTATCACAAAGCTTTAACAGAATACAAGAAACAGAGGAGGGCAAAAGGAGAATCGTGGAGAAGGCTTTCCGATGAGATAGAATAAACTGAAAAAATGTCAAGGATACAAAAGTTATCTTTAAGGACCCTCAGATAAGTATACCCTCACTTTAAAAGGAGTAAGGTTTAATACACTCGGAATGGTAAAGATACTCTGAAATAAATTTTCAGGGTGCACTTTCCTGAATCTGATACCACCATATAGACACATGGCCGCACACATAACAGGATAACTTATGATTGGAGAAAAAACCGGCGTGTAGTAAAAGAATTGGTAGATCAGGACAAAATTAAATAGGCAATAAAATCATTTGAACCATATACATTACAGGATCCGGGTTTTATCCAATACCTTGCATGGAAATCACCTTCTTTTTGTGAGTCCTTTCTCTATCGGAGTTTGTTGATCTTGACAGCAATGCATATTTTTTTATTCGTATATTTTGTATTATTGGCTGCTTCTCTAAAAAGGTCTACTGAGCTGCAAGTATACCACTCCCGAATGTTTCTCAGCCAGGAAATCCTTCTTTAGCCTATGCTTTATACCTTTGACCTTTCCTTGCACCATAAGTCTTAGTACTTCATACTTATCATCTCTGATATTATGGCCTAAATATTTTAATTTTCTCAATTTGATAGTTCTTTATGACCTCGCAATCCACGGTATTATCATTATACACCTGTAGTACCACATTTCAAATGCTTCCAACTTATTTATATGTTCAATTTTTAGTGTCCTGCTTTTTACTCTTACATACATAACCCTTTAGAGTTCTAATAATAAAGGGGTTAATGAATATCTCAAACTCTAAACAAAACCAAATTTTTAGTGTTTAGTCGTGACCCACATCCCGATGCAAAGCTTCAATTGAACTGAGTCCAAGTTGAGAGAGTTCACAAAATGACATATTTGGGAACTGTGATAAAGGATCAACTAGATCCAGACATAGAAATAAGAAGTAGAATAGCAATAACTAAAACTACTTTTATGAAAATGAAGTCATTTCTTTGCAATAACCATCTCAGTTTAGAACTAAGGCAAAGAATGGTTAAGTGCTATGTTTGGTCTGTACTTTTGTATAGTGCAGAAGTGTGGACGCTAAAAATATGGATCATGAACAAAATTGAAGCATTGGAAATGTGGGTTCATAGACGAATGCTAAAAATAACTTGGACAGCAATAAAAACTAATGAAGAAGTACTAAGGAGCGTCAACAAAGACAAAGCACTGCTTAAGACTGTTAAACATCGAAAAATGTCTTATCTGGGACATATAGTAAGGGGAAGTTGATATAAAATTTTACAACTGATCCTTAAAGACAAAATAGAGGGCCGTAAGGTGTAGGAAGGTAACAAGTTTCTTGGTTAACAAACATTTGTGAATGGACTCAGATACCAAATGCAGGACAATTATTCCATATTGTAAAAGATCGAGAAGCCTTCGCAATGGTGATCGCCAATGTCAGATACATCTGGTATGGCACGTGAAGAAGAAGACTCATTTCTCTACTTTCTACATGTTTTCTTTCTATGTTGGTTTTCTTCATGTTCATTTTAAGTCTGTGTTGGATACTGACTTTGGATTTTGACCTAAATATACAGAATACAGGCTAATTATTATAAATTTAAAAAAAAAATGTAATGAAGTTTGTATCATTGGATTAATTAAAAAGTTGAGATGTTAAACTGAGTTGTTATCAACAGGTCCTCGAAGACATTTTGTAATAATATATAATGTAACACAACTATAAATTAACAACATTTAACGGGTTTTTACCCATATATTTTAGTGGCTCATAGCATGTATACTTTGTTTACACTGATGATGGAATTAAGATTCCAAAAAGGTTCTGTAATGTAATTGTGATATAGCCTGTTTAGGTATTTTATTATATACCTTTTATAAAGGATTTGAAATAAAAAATTTTGTGATACATGGTATACAGCCAGCTACAGGAACTTAGTTTCCTAGTGTATTTTACAACAATGGTTAAAATCTAATTTCATCTGCAAGTGGTTTACAACCTAAATAAAACCTGTGTCTGCCCATGAAGCAACTGGTTTGGATCAGTTGAGTTATAATACAATGTTATCAGGTTATAATACAATGGTAAATGATTAAGAAAGATCGATTTAAAAAATTAGCTTTAAAAATATTGTTTTTTTTTTTTAACAATAAAAAAACATTGCTTTTGTTCACAAATATATTTCTTGGCTACCATAGACATTTGAACAAATGACATTGTGTTAAATTAATATTTTTTGTAATAGCTCCTTCATTTTTACTTATCTCCATCTGCCAATTTTAATGTGTACACAAAATGAAAACACAATTTTAAAATAGAAATATCTGTAAATTTTTTCAATTATTCAATATAAATTGTTTAACCTATTCAAAACAATCTAAACAAGGTTTTTTGGCCAGTAATATCTAATCTGAAAGTAGTTATATCCTAAAATGTTTACCCAATATTTATAATATATGTTTAAAAACATGCTACAAAAAATTGCAAGCAACTGCAACCACTGAATGAAGGTCAAACAAAATCGGATTTAGACCTATTGGAAACCAGTTAGTCTCATTGCCTAGTGGGTGAATCCCTGTGCTGTTATGTTGCTGAGATCACAAAATAGTTGTAAGAGTAAGAGGTTTCAGACTGTAGTTCTAAAATACTTGCGCCATGGGTGCTGAACCTTACTTTTACATTTATACCAATGCTTTAAACATTTTCACATTTTACCCTCTAAGTTACTAGCCTTACTTAAAATAACCATATCAATATATTCCGTGTTAATATATTTATTTCTTAAAATAGTGAAAATGCACAAAAAACATATTCATTGGGATTATTCATAATAAATTATATCTCCTAAACAAGAAATCAAATAAAAATGCACATAATTTAGACATATGGATTCCAGCTACTGTCATCTTCTGGAGTTAGGTAGTTCATAACAAGTAAAACAATATCAACTATCCACCACACTCCTAAACCTCCAATTGTAAGTAACTTTCCCACAGCTGTACCAGTCTGTCCTAAACAAAATCTATCCATTCCTAAAAAGCCTAATAGAATACTGTACAATAAAGTGGTAGTAAAGTACTGGTTGGAGTACTTTATACAAGGAACACCTTCTCTGAAGAAAGTTCTGTTTCCATGACATTCTATAGATGGTAAAGCATTACACACTACTTTAGTCCTTTCCACGTCGTGATATTTCATTCCTCCAAATTTAACACAACCATATTTAAGTTCCTCTTTCGCTGTCTTATTGCCTTTGTGGTCTACTGGGTCTTGGCATTCTATGAATTCAAATGAAAGAAAGCTACAATTTACTAATGGGCCTCGAGGATCGAAAGGCTCCTGTTCTTCACTGTTTATTGTTAAAATTTGTAATAATAAAAAAGGAAAAATAAAAACATTAATTAACATTATAAAAGAATAAAATTGTAAACATTCTAAAAATTATTTTATTATTTAACCTTAACTTGTCAAACAAAAACAAGACTGGTAAAATTCTTATTGTTCTTACATACCAATACCAATCCAACAGTGGCGTAGTCTAATTATAGTAAACAATAAACAAGGGTTCATCGATATCTTCTTTCTTTCGGTTTCAAATGCACTCGTGCTTTTCAGCTGTTAACTACCAAAACTGAATTTACGTCAGGTCAGGATTAATGGTTAAAAAATAAATGCCTCTTTCCTCTGTATACAATTAATTTTTCTAGTTAACGCAATTAACATGTAAAGAAAGGAAAATATACAGTACCTAACTCATTATTATTTTCAAGATTTTGCTGGAACAAACCTAATCTTAAATGGTTTGTGTTTATCCAATGACGTATCGTCATTGTGTTATAAGTGCATTTATTTAATATGTCACAAGTGTCTGCTCTCTCTGTCGACACTGTCACCTGTCACTGTCACCAACTGTCACTCCCCTAAAGTTGATGCAAGTTGATGTTTTGGAAGTTTTGTATTATTTGGGTTTAAATGGTTTAAACATGGTTTAAATTTAATATGGAATAAATGTATCTAATTAGCAGTGGCGAATAAAAATATATAGTTCAAATATCTACATAGTTAATACCAAAAATGTCTACTGCTACAGTTCGTGATCTTCAGAATTATGTTTTCAATAATAAAGAAGAAATATTAATTTCTTCCTGTAAAGTTAGCAAATTTCTGAAGAAAAAGAAAATATCCTTTTTATGTCTTGTTAGCGTAACAGGTGTACCTGTTAATATCAATCTTGTTCAAATAAAACAAACCGATAGACAAGTGTTCAAAAGAAAACGTAGTTGGACATTAGTAGAACTTAAATCTGTAGATGGACATAAGGAATCTACAGAGAACTTAGAGTTTGATTTGTACCTAGATAAAGTATACAGATGGGTAGCCCTAAATACTCAAGAGCGACATTCTTTTATTCACAATCTTTGGAAATATTCCATGAAATATTTTTTAAGTGACAAACCAGTTTTTAAGAACATTCCCAAAATGTGGATTACAGAAGATGCTACTATACCAGAGAAGTTTGATAACAATATGCTGCCGCTAGATCATGAGATGGTTGAAGATTTTCAAGTTAATACAGAAAAAGAACAGGAAGATTTAAAAAGGTATATACTTATAAGAAAACTACTTACAACTATAATATATTACTGGAATTTAATTAAACAAACTGTCTTTAATAATTTGTTGTATGTTCCCACTGGAGGGATTTTTAACAAAGTATTTGTTTCCACAGAATAGGCTGATAATGTTAAGATATATACAGTGTAAGTAAAAGGTCGGTATGGTAAAATTTAACAGGATATCTAACACAGATATAAAATCATATTTTCAGCGAATAGACAAAGATAACATATTTCCCCTTGATATCCCCTCCATATTTCTTGTTGACGCCCATTCCCCATTAGTGAGACAATTAGTTCCGATCAGAGATATTTTACACATCTCTGGTCCCGATCCTAATCTACGTAAGAAACTAGAGGTGGGTCATTGACATTTTTATCGGAATTGTTTTTCATAAACTGTAACTAGTTGATTGTTTACCAGTAGTTTCAAATAAGCGAGTACACAAACAAACATATTGGCTATTATCGTTTATGTGTATAAGTATTGAAGTGAAAGAAACTAATGAAGGATATATTTATTATAACTTAAAAAATAAATTAAACAATACAAATAGTACTTACATTTACATTACACATTATTAAATTGCGAATCATCTAAATTGACATTTAAAAACATAAGTTTTTCCAATTTTCTTGTTAACTGTGTTTTTCTATTATTTAAAATTAAACCAGATTTTGAACATGTTCTCACAAGGAACAGATTTTGTTACAATACTACAATATTTGATGAATATAGTGGTTAAGTTAGGATATACATGGCGATGGTTTTTTCACCATTGTAATGGACAGTTCAAATCTCCATTCGAAATTTTTTGTGGGTAATATATCGTCAGACAAATACATGTCAACTTCTTTTATATCTCTCGATATAGGTGTATGTTTAGATGAGTCATGTCCAATTAATTCATCAAAAATACACCATGGACTTAAGTCATCTGTATCAGTTTGTTTTTCTGCTACTGGTTGATTTTCAATAGTACAATCTTCTTTTTCTTTTTTTATAGAAGTAACCAGCTTCTTAACTCTTTCTTTTAGTTTTGATAACTAGGTATTCTTATTAATGAATGAGTTTCGATTTACAATTGATCTGAATTTTCGATTTCAAATCTTTATTGATAGTTCGTCAAATGATTTATTTATTGTAAATATTCAATTAAGAATTCTTTTTCTTAGTCAAAATTATTGACCTAGTATAAGAATAATAATTTTAATTTCAAAAAATGCACATTTGTAGAAGATGCAGCTTTTATGGTCCACTTTCTGAATATTGCAATGATTGAAACTTCTCCTGACACATTTCTGTCCGTTTAGACTACTTCTACTACAAGTACTGACATACTGCCACCCTACCCAAGTGTTAAAAGGTGATGGATGCTTCCATTAATAAAAATATTAGTTTAGACCAAAAGAAACAATTCGATATGGATTTACTAAACCTATGCAAAGACTCATTTCATCTGTTTTCCATAGTTGAAGAACGAGCTTTTAAAAAGTTTGCAGGGTGGATTCCTGGATATAAACAGCCAACAAGAAAAACTTTGTCAGGTTCATTACTTCAGGAATGTTATATCAAAACCGAGCAAATTATTAGAACACAAATTGTTAAAGAAGTAGAAATTATCTGTACTACTGCTGACCTCTGGAGTAAATGAGAGTTACATCACATTAACAGGACAATATTTAACCGAAATTTTACAATTTAAAACGGTTTTATTAGGCTGCTGCCGTTTTTCTGGAAACCATAATTCAGAAAACATCACTTTTGAAATTAGTGAAATTATTAATCAGTGGGGTCTAAAACGAAAAGTAAATTTTGCAGTAACTGATAATGCCTCAAATATGGCCAAAGCCATTAAAAATGTTTTGGAATGAAAATATTTAAATTGTTTTAATCATATGTTAAATTTATTGGTGGACGACTCACTTAAATGCTGCCGTGTACAAATAGATAAAATAAAAAGTCTTTTCTTCGACAATTTCAGCAAAAAGCACATTTCAAAAAAAGTACCTTATCTTCAGAAAGCCTTTTAAAGTATCAGTTACTACATAACAAAGTTCCCAAACGGCCAATCCAAGATGTGGAAACTAAGTAGAACTTCACCTATTACATGTTAAAAAGAATGACCAAGCTAGAAGAGGCAATCCGTTCCACATTGGTATAAGTTAATACAGACTTAGACTTAGACCAAATCTAAATAATGAAGACTGGATTATTTGTTCTCAACTTTCCCAATTTTATGGCCTTTTAAAGAAATAACAAGTACAATGAGTGGCCAAAAATACTTTAAGGGTAGTTCAGTTATTGTTATGGTATGCCTGCAAGAATCTTGCAATAAAATTTTAACAAATGGTAACCTTACATCAATAGTATCTGACATAGTACAATTACTAATATCGGGTTTAGCAAAATATTTAGAGGGATAGAACAGAGTGGCACATTGTCATTATGTACATTGATGGATTTACAATTTAAAGTGCAGCGAATTTTTGATAAAAATGAAGCCAAAAAAACAAAAGAAAGAGTTAAAAAATTGGTTAGTTCTATAATTAAAGAACAAGAAGATTGTACTATTGAAAATCAACCAGTACAAGACAAAGAAACCGATGATGACTTAAGTCCATGGTTTATTTTAATCAATTAATTGGACATGACTCATCTAAACATACACCTGTATCGAGAGTCCATTACAATGGTGGAAAAACCATCGCCATGTATATCCTAACTAACCACTATATTCATAAAATATTATAAATGTGAACACATGTTCAAAATCTGGTTTAATTTTAACTAAAGTTATAAGTAATAAATATATTCTTCATTAGTTTCTTTCACTTCAATAAATATACACATAAACGATAATAGCCATTATGTTTGTTTATGTAGGTACTCTCTTACTTGAAACTACTGTTAAACAATCATAGTAACTTGTTTACGAAAATCGGTTTACGATAAAAACCTCAACGACCCACCTTTACTCGTTATTTCTGTCCACACGAGACGGAGACATATAAAGGTATGATATAGTATTTATTAACATAGTATGTACATTAGCTTAGCTGTTATTATTATTATATTAATCATGTTTCACTAATTGACATATTTAAATTCTTTAATAAAACTTACGTTGATGGAGACTGGCTGAATGACAATTGTCCAAGAAGAAGAAGATTTTTTATTGTGGCATCATATGCAGTTTAATATTTTTATTGGGAATAAGGCACATTGTGACTTTAAAATAAGCTTATTTTGATGTTTAGATTTTTAATTCGGAAATTGTACTTCAAATACGAAACATTAATAAATTTTATTTATATAAAACGATTTCCTCAGTGGAAATCAAAATGTGATATTACACTTATTGTAAAGTAAAATTGTGGCATATTCCCAATAAAAATCAGTAAGCTGCCATTTAAATCCATTTTGCCCAAATTTGATTATCTTAGAACATTGTTCAAATGCTAAAAAGACAACAGGTCAAATAAAACCAATAAGTTTGGCAACATTCAATTTCCCCTTTTTTAGTATTTCAACTCATTCATTTTCGGCGATATAAAGGGCGGACCTAATATACCTCTCTCTCTTTTTAAACAGGTATTTCTCACTCCATCTCACATAAGGTCCATACCGACCATAAACTTTTATCTATACTGTATAAGTTTTATTGATTGATTTATTCTCAATAGGCTTACTTTCATTGATTGTGCAATAAATTAAATATTTATTTCCTTTTTAGATTAATGACTGGCTGTGAATTTGCTATTAGCAATGCTGAAGCGTTTATGGAAGTATTAGCTAGGGATTTGTCCCTCTTAGATGGGGAAAATATTCACTGTGTGTTAGCCTCTGAAGATCAAGTTGAAGCCCTAATGGATCATCTAGAATTAGCTTTAAATGAAGTTGATAGAATGGAGACTCAGTTAAATGATTATGATGAAATTCTGTGCCATGTTAGGGATACAATGGAGAAAATGGAACACAAAAATTCGACTTTGTCTACAGCCAATATGAACAATCAATGGTTGATGAAAGAGTTAGAAAATTTAACGGTAAGTATTTTTGGTCCAGAAAGTTGGAATGGTTTTATAGGTCGATAAATTATATAGTTATATAGGTCAATAAATCAATAGTGTGAGAAAACTTAAATTTCAATTTTTTTGTTTGTGAAAATTTATAAAAGTATTAGACAACCAAAAGAAAAGTATAAGAAATTTAAAAAAATAATAATACTGAAAATTTTTATGTGAAACACTGACATAGTTACAAAGCTATATTTATAATCTCACTAAAAGGCTACAATTCATCAAATAAGTGTATTGTCCTCTGCATAAAACAAAAACCTTTGACTTTTGAAAGCACGCAAACATAATTTGAACTGATGAAATAATTGCAGGCATTTCCTCAATACATATTAGGCAATCTATACTTTGCACGCATATGCATATGTACTAATTGATATGTTTCACAATTATTCACAGGAAACTATACAAATTCAGGAAATTAAGATTAATGTGAGATTACAAATTAATGGACTAATTTGTGGTTGAACACCTATACTATACTAATACTGTTTTATCAACAATTTTTTTTTAGGAAAAACTTGATCTATCACATGCACATCAAAAAATCTTAGAAGATGCTGACTTCACTACTGCTAAAGGTCTTTCACAGGCAGTGGAAGCAGCTAATGCCTTGAAAAGAGTAATGAATTCAGATATAGATAAGTCACTTCTTCAAATGGCTGCAGTACAAGAACAAAGGAAACAATTTAATAAGTTGAAGGACAAATTTTCAAGAAATATATGCAGACAATTTAATAACTTGTTTATTCATTTTGGAAATCATAAAGGAGAAGCAGAGAAGAGTGCAGATAGTTTAGTTTTACCTCAACATAGTGGAGTTCATAAAGAACTGTATCCATATACTGAATTGATTCATTGGATTAAGGTGAGTATTTACAATATTCTATTTTTTCATCACGTGCAAAGTCCTAAAATCATAAACAACTCAGTTTAATGATTTGATTTATGTACCACATCACTTTCTTGAAAATCAACAAAGTACAGCTAATACTAGTGAACCCCATAGTTAGTAAAGAACATAGCTTTCATAAAGCACAGAATTTCCTACAGCACATATTGGAATATATGTCATCATTATCCTTTGTTTTATTGATGTTGTTTTGTCATCATGTTTTATGTTATATATTATTGTTTTATATTTTTTAATAAGTGTAGATACTGTTTTTTAAGTGTAATTGTTATTTTTATTTTATATATGAATGTTATAAATTGATTAATTTTGTATGTATTATGGCTTTCCCTATTTTTGAATAAATAAACTTCTTCTTCTTTCATCATTCAGTCACACTCACTTATTGTGCAATTGTTTTTACCAGTGGCTACTAGTCCCATGGCACGAGTAAAGCCATGCTTCACCACCAAAATTTTGACAGAACGCCATTTTTTCTTTATAGTTATATTTTTAGTGGAGCCTTTTTAGCGTACCTTTTAATTTTTACTACCTACAATTTAAAATTTTCTATAAGTGTAGGAAACAGTGGCTATCAGCTGTAGGGCGCACAATGCCAAGGTTGGAATCAAGAACAAACATGTGAAGTGAATTTGCCAAGTCATCTCAGTCTGTCACCACAACATTACATCACTTAGCTTGGTTGCAAGGACAACGGCACGCCTGTGGTCTTTTGGGGTGTCTTAAGTGAAACAAAATGTTAGATTGCACTGCTAAGCAGTAAACGTGGTGGAGAATAATTCAGAAAATGCAGCTGACATAGCTGCATTAAGAGCAACTGTTCCTATTGAATATCGTGATAAACGCAACAGATAACAGCCACACAAAAATAAACTTTTATAGATACAAAGTGCTTTATTTTGTCATTGTAGACATTTTAATAAAAAAATAGCCATGCGTTTTCATAATTATGAAAATATTCATTTTATACAGTTAATGGATATTAAAAAGTTCAGAGAATACACCAAATAATTCCCTACAGATGCACTTTGAACAATTTGAAAATGTGGTACTCGGATTTGTTTACTGATTTGCAACGCCTGAAGAATAAATTGCAGTTATAAACAACAACGACCAGTATATAAGAATGAAATCAGAAATTTTTGTAAAAACATTTAATTCAATGAAACTAGTTATATTTTTAATTAAGCTTATAAATTAATGTGCTTGATTGTGACTGTTCCATCCACAAGCGTCTCGTAGAACGGAGGTTTTCATACTTCAAGAGGATAAAAACCTACCTCTGCAACACAATGACAGAAGACAGACTTTTGAACTTATCAAAAATTTCCATAGAAAAGGATCTACTGAACGAACTGATAATAAATACACGCCCGTTTTATGAAGACATTATCGACTTTGCAAGTCTGAAGGACAGCAGAGTCGACCTCATATGTAAGAAGTAACCTTTTGGTGAGTCAAGCCTGTTTTACTAAAGTATGTGTTGTGTGTTTCGACCTAATTCGATCTTGCAACTATTGTATCAAAAAGGATTTTTCTCTACCGCCTTGATTAGGTATTGGAATTGGATGAGGGGTTGTAGTTGGCTAAGTTACAAACGGAAATAAAAAATGGGAATGTGAGGTACTAATTAGTTACATTCATAGACATAATACAAATAGACTGATTGCTGCAATATGTTACTGTTCCCCCAGTACAACAGAGAAAAGTAGTCCAAGACTGTATCTTTTTCTAATGGATCAGGCTTATCGACCACGTGACCTTCCCATTGGTCATTTAGGTCGTGGTCAAAAAATATGGCCCATTAGAAAGAGATGCAGGGACTTCTTTGCGCCAGTTTTCTCTGTCGCACTCAGGGAACGACGCTGCATTGCAACCCTCAGTCGAATTGTATTATATGTCTATGGTTACTTTAGGATAGCTTACGTAAGGTTAAGTTAGGTTAGGAGAGGTTAGGTCAAACAGAATTTACTTCACCTCTTTCGAGACTCGTGAGCCGCTACTGGTTTTCATGTTTATTTACCATAGATAATCGAAAAATTATAAAAGCGGTAACATTGTAAAAGAGTTTTATTTATTATTATTATTGAAATAATTTAGCATTCCTTTTTTAACGGTTTTTAGGTAATGGATAAACAGATGTATGAATCTTTAAAAGAAATTTATACTAGTTCTTTGGGAAAACTTTATGACAGAGATTTAAAAAATCTATTTAATGTAGCAAGGGAAAAAATTGCAGGTAATCATTTATATGTCATTTATGTCATGTATTTATATAATCAAAATTTAGTTATTTTGGTTTTTTATGCTTTCGTGTTTTAAATATCTTTTAATTGGATCCAAGTATATATTAATTTTTATTACACACAGGTGCATGTTCCTTCCCTTGAAAATGTTAACTCTTTTCTGCTCCAATTTTGATATATATTTTTTGAAAAGTAGAAGGAAAATCATCTTTAATTAATTTACTTAATGAAATACAGTTTTGTATTGATTTTGTAGGCGTTTCTTGATTACAGCTTGTTTGGAAGTACAAAAAAAATGATTTTGCAGATTAAGTCGTGGGCAAGATACATCTAAAATAAATAAAAGCAGCTTTAACAGTATTATTTCAGTTATTATGAAAAGTTGTTTGGAATTCAAAACTGTCCATTAATATGTTCTCTGAACTTTATATCATTTAGAGAAGTACGGAACATCAAAATTGGAACTAGAAATATAAAACGGTATCTAAGTTACATACTAAAAATACCCTTAACCCTTAGTCTCCCGACGGTACTTTTAAGCGCCATCAAATTCTGGTACCCGTATATCCCAGGCATAAAAGTTAATAATACTTAGCACATAAAATTGCACCAACAACTACAGTTTTCAGCTGATGTTTAAAACTTGGAATGTTATTCAAACGATTTTGTTTTAAATACACAATAAGATTTGTATGTACTCGAAACGATCGTCCGCAATAAATACAGTTAATGGATTATATAATATAATGGATAATAATTATTATCACACAAGAGTGACAATAATTTGAACAAAGTACAAGCCTGGGCATTAAGTGAGCAATCAGTCACGATGGGTCACACTCCAAACTATGACCAAGTAAAAATATTGTCAAGGAAAAGAAATCACAACAAAAAATTATTTTTAGAAATGGGTCTAATAAAATCCACAAAGAATACCTTGAATAAAAGAGCGCACATTGAGCATCTAAGTGCTATATATAGTAATCTGCTACCAATGAAAGAAACATCACATATATAAAAGCCACATAAAAAGTACACAAAAAATGGGAGGAGTTATTCAAAGTTCAAAGGATATCAATATTGTTTTTTTTTGTGTTTGGTGTTTACCTTCTTCATTAGTAAGAAAAACTCTATTGATTGTTTAATAAATACTAAGAGAGAATAAACAGAACAGCTAAATAATATTTTATAAACAACAAAGTTGATAGAGTGATGAAAAAAAAAAAAGAAAATTATATATGTAACTTAAATTCGTCATGTTAGCTTATGCTGGTAGTTTTAGTATAGTATCCTCACAAGGGTAAAACTGTATATTAATAACAACTGTGGTTATTAATTTTAGTACCTTTTTGATAATGAGTTAAATAAACTCAAGCTCAAACAGATCTTAAAGAGTTTTACTTAAAGCCCAATCAATGACTACAAATCCCAATACGTTTATTCTCACCTTTGCCCTTTAAGTGCCATCAAATTCTGGTACTATATATATATATATATATATATATATATATATATATATATATATATATATATATATATATATATATATATGTATACATATATATTGCGAACATTTTCGACAGTGGGATTTTGATTTGAGAATTTACTTTATGAGAGGTCTCCATGTAGAAGGTAACCGAATGACGTCATCTCTTTTATTGAGAAAATTTGGCCTTTTTTCAATTTCTATGGCCTCTCAGATAATTCTTGGTTTGTAGAAGCGGATGGGGGCTATGGTTCTGGAGTTTTCAAAATCAATTTTGTGACCTGTATGAAGATGGTGTATGAAGATGGACCTAGAGCTGAAATTGAATTGGAATTGCGAACAGAAATGGAATGTTTATGTTATGAAAGTACCTTTAGAAAAGAGGCCACTATGTTTTATGTTGTAAGGTTATCTATGTCATGTCAATTGTGAGGGTGTCAATAAATAAGTTAGTTGAAATTAGTTAAGTCTTATTTATTATAATACTATAAATATATAACAGTTTATAATTCCTATTTTGGATTCTACGATCTTTTGGCCTATATAGGATCGGGGACAGTCTGTACAAGGAACTTCATAAATTCCGTGTTGTTTATTTAGAATGTTGTCTTTGATTGATCGGACAAGAGTTGAAAGTTTTTGTTGGGGGTAAATATTGTTTTTATTCTCTTGATTTAAGAATTTTGTCGATTTTTTCAGTGACACCTTTAATATAAGGAAGAAAAGCTTTCGTATGATAAGGGTCTGAGTCTTTGGATTGAGATTTAGTGGGAGATTGATGTCTGTGGATGCTCCTATTGATGTGATTTTCGCGGTAACCGTTTTGGATGAGGGCTTGTTTTAAACAACGAAATTTTAAACGTTTAAACGTAATTTTTTTTGTATATTTTCTATGGTTTTCTATTTCTGCAGGTTTTCTATTTATTTTATTTTATTTGTTTATTTTACGCTTATTATCTTCCTTTTTTATATTCTTAAGCATTTTTTTTGGTTTTACTTACTTTTTTTTCTTCATATTCAGTGCATCTTAATCTTAATGTTATATACAGTTTAAAGTTAGTTGGTTTTTAATAATTGAAGATATTCATAATTTTTTATTTTTCTTTCATATTTTCAAATATTCTTTATTTTTTGAAAATTTTAATTTTTAACTGGAGTTTTCTGTGACTCTTCTTCTTCTTCTCGTGCCACTCCTAGCGGAGATTGAAAATCATCACGGCCACTGCGACTTTGTTAGCAGCGCGCCTAAAAAGTTCAATCGAACTACACCCGAACCATTCACGTAGATTACGAAGCCACGATATTTTTCTTCTTCCCACACTTCTTTTGCCCTTAATTTTGCCCTGCATGATGTTTCTTAAAAGTTTGTAGTTTTCACCTCTCACAATGTGCCCCAAGTATTGACTCTTATTTAATGTTAATCCAAATTTATCTTATTTTTTAACAGCTTTTATTTAGCAGCTTAGTTTGGCATATATAAGACATAAGGCATATGAAATGTCTGAGCTGTATTGGACACATTTTTGGTATAAAATTATAAATATTTTAGAGATTTTTGTGGTGAGATTGTATCTTATTACTGAAATAATTTTATGAATTGCTTCTTCTTCTTCTTCTTTTTATATAGACATGACTCTGTTTTTCAATGTGCCCCCAGTTAGTTGTCGTTCCTTCGTTTTCGTGGTCATCCTACTGATAGTCTTCCTATTGGAACCGTCTCTTGCCGCCTTTACTACTCTATTTGTTGTCATTCGGCTTATATGATCGTTCCATTCTACTCTTCTATTTTGTACCCAGTTCTTGATGTTCTTCACCTTGCATCTACGTCGTATATCTGTACTAGCTCTTTACCACACAAGATCGAGAGGAATATTCCATAATTGTCGCCAACATCCACCAATTGGATAGGGCACCATGAGAAGAAGAAGCTCTGTACCATGGTGTCTTACTATTATTCTTTATTTTTTATAATTTTCATCTGTGCTGTTTCTAACATCCTTTTTGTCCTCTCTATGTCAGATAGTGTTTCTGCTACGTATATCATTATTGGTGTAATGACTAATTACTATTAAACTGGGAATATTAAGAAACCGTTATGGTCTAATGACTGTTTTGTAAATTTTGCCTTTCATTTCTTTCCCGATATTTTTATTTCTCCATATTGTTTCTTTAAGGCAACCTGCGAATCTGTTTGGCTGTTTGCTCTATTCTCTTGATCTTCCACTTCAGTTTCGAGCTTTCCGTAGCTAGATAACGTGATGCCTAGATATTTACACTCCATCACTTGTTCTATTATCTGACCTTCCAGCTCCAATTTACGTCTTAGTAAATTTGCTCTTATAACCGTGCATTTGCCTTTTTTTTTGGAAATTAACATATTGAATTTTCTGATGGTTATATTAAATTGGTGCAGCCTACATTTTAAATCATCTTCACTTTGAGAGAGTAGTAATGCGTCGTCTACATAGCCGATTATTTCAAGTTGTTTTTCTTCCATATGAAATATTGAAATAATCTTATTTTCTGCTCTTGGCATTAATGTGTTGTTCATTGATTACGGTAATATCTTATGAGTTACCTTTTGTTTTTAACCAATCTTCTACAAATCTCCTAGTTTTTCTTCTTATCATATTTTTTTTTCATATTTCATATAATATATTTAACATGGATTAAATATTTTTATAATTTTATTTTTAGTGTATGGAAATGTAGTTTCACCTACCACAATTATTGGCCTTGATAGAGATCAGTGGACTTTGGAAACCAGTACTAAAGATAGAGAAAGATATGATTTAGTATTAGAGCAAGTACTCACACAGCTAGAACCTGTGTTTATGCAAGAACAACAGTTTTGTTTAAAGTTCTTCCAGGTGAGTTTTAATTTATTTAGAATAATATAAAAAGGGGATACAGGTTTTTCCGAACTTTGACAGTTGGTAGCGATGATTTTGTCGCAGCAAATCACCATGGATGGATGCAGTGTACAAAAACATGGGCAAATGATTAAATTGTTGTATCAAAATCGATATTCTGCTCGAGCCACTTTCAGTACACTTTGTATGTTTTGTGTTCTACATAATCGTACTACCGAGAGGATTATTGGCGGTGTGGCGGATAAATTTGAGTCTACAGTCAATTTCACTGAACAATACTGGTCTTGATCAGTGGTCGCACAAAATAAGTCGGCTTTTCACAAACCACAATTTTTTTTGCATCGTTATTTATTTAGTTTGAATCCGAATTCTGTGATGTTATGTATTTCCAATTCTACCCTACGGCTATGAGAACTAGACTCTTAACCCCTCACTAGAAAAACGCATGGAAGCTTTTGAAATGTATCTTTATAGATACTACATATTTCCCGAATGAAAAGAACAACAAACACCGAAGTTATTCACAGAATACAGAACAAGGAACTAATGCCAACGATTAAAGAGCGTAAACTAACGTACATTGAGCATGTAATAATGATAGATATGTACGAAATACTTCGGTTTATCATTGAATGAAAATTTCAGTGAAAAAGGTCAATAGAAGATGAAAAAACTTCTTGGCTCGACTGCAACTTTGGATCGACCGAGATCTTGAGAGCCGCTGTTTTGTGTGTAGCTCTAGCCAATTGTAGCCAACTTTCAAAGGGAGACGACATAGTAAGAAGAAGGAGATTCGGACCTGTCGCTGTACAAAATTCAACTGATCTCATAGCTGAAGGAAGATACGACGTGTGTTCGCTGAATGGGCTCTGGAACAGTTGGAAACTAACCCTAATTTCATCGAAAAATCATCTCCAGCGATTTTTTAAAAGTTTATATTTCAATTAGCAATCAGAATAAAATGTTATCCTATAGGCTAATGTGTTGACTTTAGAGCACATTACTGCTAATTTTTGACATGATAAGGTCTTCTCCATCAATAAGTTTTCTTTAATCATCAAAATTAGCTTTCTCTCATTAATCAAGAAGGAATAAACAGAACATTTCTTTAAAAGCTATTAATTTTTAAATTTTTTATTTTAGTTGGATGTAATCAGTAGTCCTAAAGCCTTGGATTATAGTATAGAAAGTGACGCTGTAACAGCTAGAAAAATTGAAAAACAGATTGATGAAGACATCAAGAACATGATGAGCAGTCTATTTGCCTGTTTAAAACCCGAACTTGATATGTTGATCGATTATATTAAAAAACAGGACAATTTGTAAGTTAAGATTCTAAATTATTAAAATATGCTACATTCTGAAAAATTGTGTAATGAGATTAGTTTCTACGGTTGTAACATTCATAAAATTAATCTTATCAGTGTGAACTCACATGTATCAGATTGTAATTCCACACCGTTCTTTCTATTTCTTTATTTTCTTTCAGTACTCCGTTTCATTTGTTGTTGAACGTTACTTTGGCGTCTTTTACTACTTTGTTTTATGTGGAACAAATGTGATCAATACTTAAAAAGGAAATGGTTTTTCTTATCTGGAAGGCCTCTGTTCTACACAGGTCGTACTGCGGGCAATTGACGGATTGCATCTTCCATTACTTATTATAAACACATCAAAAAGTCTAAGGAACACAAAGTTTTTTTACTCATATATACATAAATTTTGATTGGATTTTAAAAAGTGACATACCGTTATAATGCCTGATTAGTCTGCAATAAATTCAGCTTAATTTTAGTGTACTATGATTTGAAATATGATTCATATGATGATGAAATAATCAAAGAGAAGTTAAGAAGTGCACTAGTTAAATGGATATTTTTAAAAGAATAGTCAATATAAAACATAGAAATCTAACAACAAATGTGTTTCATAATCTGTGTTTTATTCAGCAGCATTAATTACAGCTTGACACCTCTTTGGCATGCTTATAATATTAAGTTATCAATTTAGTTTTGGAGCAATTATCTACACTATAACAATTTTCAATTGAAGATGATTCATTGGCAATATCGCACTTAAAGCGACTAACCTATATTTTCCTTATCAACTTTCCAGAAGCCTACCAAAATAATATTTTAATTATTCATTATTATTAAATTATCATTGTGTTTTAACAGGTATCTTATAGTTGTCTAATAAAATAATGTAAAATTTTATTGTTATTATAGAGTGCCTAATACGGTACTTCAAACACAGAAAACTTAATTATTATATTCCATTTATATAGAAGGAGAACTACAAAGCAAAGAAATAATTACCTAAGTTATGCTTATCATGTTTCGGAACAAAGCGACTCATCCGAAGAGGAATTTCCAGTCACAACTTAAGTCTGTTATTATTTTGTCAATAACAGTATCTACCATCCCGTCCAATCTCCAAATTTTCCTCCCTTCCTTATGGGCTACTGTCGTAGCCCAATCTTCTTTCCGTATCCGTTTCATTGCGAGTTCTAACAAACGTTGGACGACAGAAATTTTATATGTCACGTTTTCACGAGCTATGTAGCCCTTTACTTGAGCACAGATTAATTCTATCGAATTTAACTGGCAATGGTAAGAAGGAAGTCTCAAAATGATGACGCCTTTAATATGATCCATTGCATCTACAACATGCTGGCGATATATGTCACGATGTTGTCTAATGACACTAATAAGCGTAGCCTTAACCATGTCCTCGTAAAAGGAATTCCTTTTTGTCTCAACCAACTTTGCATGTCTGCTTTTCTGGTGGCCATAGTTGGCAGATGTTCTACTAATCGGCTGTGATAAGAAGCGTTATCCATCACTATTGCCAAATTTGGCTCTACTCGTGAAAGAAGCGATTCAAACAATTTTTCAAAGCGTTATGCGTCCATGTCTTCGTGATAATCCCCTTTTTTTTGATAAAATTAGTGCACTATCGTCTAAAAAACCACTCTCACTACCTATATGGGCGACAATAAGTCGTTGCCCTTTGGTCGTAACCTTGTTGATAAACCGTCCACAAATGCTTTACGATAACTCGTTACAGTAGTATCTTGACAGATCTTTGATACTGCGTGACCAGCATTCACCCACGTTTAGTCCAGATAATAAATCTTTTTGTGGCAGAATGAACCTCTCTAATAGAGCGAAGATATCTTTATCGCCATGAGACTAAATCTTCTCTTTCTATTAAGACAGATTTATGGGATTGTTTGGCATAATATAAATTTTAAATCGTCTTTTATTATTATCGTTAACGTTTCTTTGCTCATTTTTGGAATGAGATCATTTACCATTCATTACCTTTGTTCTAATCGATTCGAGAGTTGGCGCTTTATTCTAAAAAAAGAAAGAGTGAATAGTAGTGCGTACATCATTTTTCTGGTACTCGTCCAATTAAATTTTTTTTCTACCACAAAAATGTACTTTTGGAGCTTGCACGATCCCAGTTTACCTTTTTTTTTCACGTACAATTCGTTTAATTGTCGACACGGATACACTCGTTAAAAATGAAAACTGAGTTACAGCTTCCACAGCACGAGGTGCATTTTTTTAAATTTCATACACTTTACAGACAATCTGCTTGTATTCTACCAACATAAACTTCTGCCTTCTTTGTATATTACTTGGACCTGCTACGGCATCCATCTTAATGCTATAACAAGAATGAACATCAATCACATCATTCTGCTATTTGCCTGTTGTTTACGTACCTCAAAAACTATTTTAAAGTTAATAAATATAATAAAGTGTATTTAATAAATATAAATACAAAGTCACATTCATAAGAAACCGAACACACCACGCCTATGCAGATATGAACGTTTGATGATGCCGAACGAATAAGCTATCTCTCCCATTCTCACTCTTTCCAACGACCTAAATATATAGACCGACAAAGTGTTGATAAGTTTAGCGATGTTTAAAAGTATTAACTAACTTGTTCAATTATTCGCTTGTGAATCGTACCGGTATGCAAAAGGTATATTGTTACGGGGGCAAATTTTATGGAACAATCTTATTTTTCACTTATCCACATTGGCGAAACTTACACAATAAAAATGACCCCGGTAAGTACCAGTAAGAATTTACTTCCAACATTTAACATTGTTGAAATTAGCTGTCAGTTCAATTTGTAGATGTCACCTTCTGTAAAAGTGTAATATCCTCATTATGAAACCAATATCTTACTGTTGCTGCAGTATGTGGCCTTGTATTATCCTGCATGTAACGCAAATTAGGACCTGCAGCAATGGCAAATGAAAGTACAACGGATTCTAAGATACGATCAATATATTGAGATTGATTCAAAGTGCCTTTTACTAAAACGGAAACAGTTCGATGATGAAAAATTATTCCAGCCCACATCATAACTTGTAGACCACTTATATAGACAAACACCCTGTACATACTTGAGTCTCTCCTATCGACCAGGTGCTCTCCAAACTCTCACTCTTCTTTAATTAGGGTAGAGGCAACACCTAGATTCATCTGTGAATAACACAGAACTCCATTCTTGTAAGCCCCACTGCACATGTTCTTGTGTCACCGCGGGGGAACAAATAGCGGTCTGAACTCCTTCTATTGCCTCCGGGTGCTCTGTAGAGGGCTTCGGAGACGTCAACGAGTGCACCTCTACCCAAGTCTATTTACTGGATATAGACTTGTGAAATTTTCCTCTGATGACTCGTCTTGTGAAAGACGAGCTATTTCTTACATGACTTATATGTGAGAAAGTCGAAACAAACATCAGGTTTTGGTCTTCGGTGACTTGCCTTGACAAAGGCAAGATATTTCTTCCATGAACAAAAGGAGGTAGTCGAAATAAAAACACCAAATATTGTTTTTATAAAATACTCAGCCACAGAGTATAGGAAAGCTAAAAACAAGAAAAGCAGCGCCCCGAGAGCACTAAGCTCTCGGAGAGCCCGTGAAGGACTGACTTGATTGACCTGAAAATCGCCTATTTTTATACTTTCCGTAGTAGCGATTAGGGATTTCCAGGTCAGGGAGGGGCCAACGGGAAAAATAAGGGGCGGGGCGATGCGTCTCGAACGTGAACTAGTCGCGTTCGAGAACACTTGTGTCCACCTTAATCTGAGTCCACGATTTCCATGACGTAATATGAAAACCCTCAATGGACGTCTGGCGTGCAGGTCAGTTTCATATAATCTATTCCTCAAAGTTTGGTCACATACAGTGATGCTGTGAGTATTTTATAAGGCTCCATAGAGTTCACGTGCGGTGACATGCACATTTCGACAAGCTAATCCTACCACATACCGATCCTGTCGAGGAGTAGTTTTATGTTGAAGACCCCTATGTCTTTCAGCGCGATTGTCAAATTGTTCATATTGACTCCACAATCGCGAGATCACGCTCAGAGACACGTCAAAATGACGTGCAACATAGTAGTAAAGTTAAAATCATTTTTAAGAAGAAAATTCTATGAAAATTATTAAATAAAGGGATTAGATACACTCATTTGGGTATTAATTATGGACGACTTGCAAGCTATTGCCGACATTGAATATTTGGAAAACGCGGAAGAAGCAGTCCAACGACGTAACCGTAACCGATTTAACAACATTGATCCATTTGAAATGTTATCTGACAATCAATTTGTGCAGAATTTTTGATTAAGTAAGGAATTGTGCCGTTACTTAATTGAAGTACTCACTCCGCACATGAGAGTACAAAGACGAGCAACAGATTTAAGCGTGACCACAAGGGTTTTTCATTTTGTCTTATAGTAAAGCCATTAACATTATATTTTATAGGTTTTAGCTGCATTGCGTTTTTTCGCAACAGGCAGTTACCAGATGGACATCGCGAATGGATTATTTATATCAATTTCACAACCGTCAATGTCGCGATGTCTAGAAGAAGTTAGTGTGGCACTTAACGAACCCGATATATTTAGCACATGGGTACATTTTCCAAGGAATGTTGAGGAATTAAACGAAACTAGGACAAAGTTTTTTGAAAAGTTTAATTTTCCTGGTGTTGTAGGATGCATCGATTGCACCCATGTTGCTATATTTCCACCAAAAGTTAATGATGAGGAAAATCCTGAATACATCTTTGTGAATCGTAAGGGGTATCATAGGATAAATGTGCAGCTTATATGTGATAGCAATCTTAAAATAATGAATGTGAATGCAAGATACCCAGGAAGCACGCACGATTCATATATTTGGGTTAATTCAAATGTTTTGGGTATATTAGAAAACCTACATAGAAGAAATTTAAAAAACTATTATCTATTAGGAGACAGTGGGTATCCATTAAGGCCCTGG